CGTGTAAACGTGGCCAGGTGGCGGCCTGTCCGAGCGTCCGTGCAGTGGGTCACCCGCTGACTCGCAGGAGTGAACTGGTGAACCCCCGCATCCTGTAGGTCAGCACCACTCACCAAGTTCGTAGAGAACGAGGGGAGGTAGAGACCAGACAGGGTGCCAGAGGGGGCCGCCGGACACGGGAGGACAGTGGAGAAGTGAGCAAGGACAGGACCCCCAGAGGGGTCTGCCAGGGAGACCGCAACTGGCCGGCCAAGCGGCGTGAGTGTGGTGCGGTCTCGAAAGAAGGAGCGAGAAGCCCCCGAGTCAAGTGTGAAGGTGTGGGAGGCCGAAGCCGACGCAGAACCTGAGAGAGCAGACTCACCAGCACCTGAGGGAGCAGACGCACCTAGAGCAGCAGCCTCGCTAGCACCTAGAGCAGCAGCCTCACCAGTACCTAGAGCAGCAGTCTCAATGCCCGGGTCGGGCGGAAAACACCGGTAACAGTCACCCTCATCACTAATAGTCACAGTATACACGGCAGCAAGAATAGCATCAAAGTCAAGGTCAAAGACAGCTACACCCGCCCTAGACAGCTCACCCCAGCAGGGGATCTCAGTGGCCTCAGGGAACTGGTGACGCCAAGCGTCCGTGAGGCGGCCAAAGCAGCGCTGGGTGGAGTGCGCACCCCCGCACTGCTCACCCGCGCGGTCGCCGGTGCGCAGGACGTAGGTGCACGGACCAGCACCCCCACCCCTCTGGCGTGCAGTGTACCACTCACGGAGCTGCTGAGGGGAGGGGACGTCACGAGTGCGCTGCTGCTGCTGCTGCTGCTGCTGCTGCTGCTGGCGCTGACCACCACCGGAGCTGACCCTCTACGCAGCGCCACCCCGACCAGCTCCACCTCCTCCGCCGCCTCCTCCTCCACCGCCGCCACCTCCGCTCCCTCCGCCACCGCCGCTGCCTCCTGCGCCTCCACTGCCGCCACCTACACCTCCACCCCCGCCACCACTCCCACCGCCACCCCCACCTCCTCCACCACCTCCACCGCCGCCTCCACCGCCCCCGCTAGCTCCTCCAGCGCCCCTGCCCCCCTTGCCCCTGCCAGGGCGGCGTCTCCCGCTAGGGGTAGACGCTGCCCCAACCGACTCCAAACCAGCGAGGTCGGCCGCAGCAGCAGAGGCAACAGAGGGCAAAAGAGGGGAGGGGGAACACCCCTCAAAGATGGGGGTGCGAGGGTCACCACGAGAGGCTCCTACAGCGACTATGCTCTTTTCTGCTCCTAGGAGGGCCTTCTCGAGGAGGTCAACGGTGAGAGTGGTGGGACAAACCGAGAGGAAGTGGTCCCTGACTACGCGAAGGGAGTCAGGGAGACGGGTGACTATGTAGTAGAGGGTGATGTACATGGGGGGGGGGTTCTTGGCGCAGAACTTAGCAGGAAGCGCAGCGCGGTAGCGAGTGTCACTAGAGCGGGGGTGCGTAATGAGGTCAGCGACTGTGGGAAAGGCAGCAAGGTCAGGGAAGAGGTACGGTAGCATGAGGCGGCTCAGTGCAGCAGTGGCAGGGGAGGAGTAGCGTGCAACTACAGCGTCGTACAAGGTCTGAGCACTCTTGTACTGGCTAAAGTGCGCACGCTCAGAGGTAGGGAGGTGGCGACGCACAGCAAGACGTGCAGCAGCATCGCGCGTGGCCCACTGTGAGCGAACGGTGGCGTCAGCATCAGCAGCGGGGGCAGAAGAGGCACCAGAAGTGAGGTCAAAGAGGGAGAGGCCGTCTGCTCTGTCGCACTGTAAGAAAAGCTGCAGGTCATCTATCCAGACGTCAAAGTCAATGGCCCGACCCTCAGCGTCAAAAGCGAGGACACTAGGGGTAGCCATGACAGCAGTAGACTAGCAGTGCAAACAGCAGGGCGAGGGCAGTGCTGTGAGAGAGGCGCTGCTCTTACCGGACAGGGCGGTTCGGGCGGCTCGGCTGCAGGGCGGCTCGGCGGCTCGGCGGCTGGGCGGCTCGGCGGCGGGGCGGCTCGGCTGCTGGGCGGCTCGGCTGCGGACAGGGCGGCTCGGCGGCTGGGCGGCTCGGCGGCTCGGCTGCTGGGCGGCTCGGCTGCTGGGCGGCTCGGCTGCTGGGCGGCTCGGCGGCTGGGCGGCTTGGCTGCTGGGCGGCTCGGCGGGGCCGCTGAGAGGGCGGTGTCCGGCGCCGCTGGGAGGAGGCGGCGGGGCCGCAAAGGTAAGTGGCGGGGCCGCGGAGGTAGGTGGCGGGGCCGCACAGTGAGGTGGCGGGGCCGCGAAGGTAGGTGGCGGGGCCGCACAGGTAGGTGGCGGGGCCGCGGAGGTAGGTGGCGGGGCCGCACAGTGAGGTGGCGGGGCCGCGAAGGTAGGTGGCGGGGCCGCACAGGTAGGTGGCGGGGCCGCGGAGGTAGGTGGCGGGGCCGCACAGTGAGGTGGCGGGGCCGCGAAGGTAGGTGGCGGGGCCACACAGGTAGGTGGCGGGGCCGCACAGGTAGGTGGCGGGGCCGCGGAGGTAGGTGGCGGGGCCGCGGAGGTAGGTGGCGGGGCCGCACAGTGAGGTGGCGGGGCCGCGAAGGTAGGTGGCGGGGCCGCGGAGGTAGGTGGCGATGGGCGCGACGGGCGCGACGGGCGCTACGGGCGCGACGGGCCGAAAGGGCGGCGCGACTCGGGCCGGCGCAAAACGCGCTCCGGGCAGGAAAAAAAAAAAAAATCGTGGTGGTGGGCCCTAGGAATCGTTCCCACTAGGGAACCTGCTCGATACCATGAGAAGAAACGAGGAATGCAATGACTAAGTGAAAGTTGGGTACAAGAAGCAAACCCTAGAAAACTGTACCCCATATGTGCTACCCCACTATAGCCTACAGTAGCTATGTCATATAAATCTGACACCTTTGACCTGACGAAACGTACAGTGCGAAAGCAAGGACACATAACTGACTCGTTACAGAGCAGTTACCCGAGTCGGCACTGTATCGAACCGCAACAGCAAAACAGTTAAAGTGGGACTTTTCATATTCCTTGTAATCGTATAAAAGGCTTGTATCTCTTTGCTATTATTTAACTTATCTTGTTCTCACGCACCAGTACAAGGTGGTTCACGACAACTCTTCATTAAACGCTTCCGCTATTACATCTCTACGTCAACACCCGATCTTAGTCCTGAAAGTTCCTAAGGGCTTTTCTCAGCCCAACAAAAGTATATACTTACTTGTGGGCTATAGTGGGGCACCCCTTATGGGGTACAGCACTTCTAGGGTTAGTATTTGTACCCCAACTCTTGCTAATCCAATCATTCCTGCACAGTTGATTCTGACACCCCGAACATTGGTTACACTGACCACCACGTACCGATACCACTGTGCGTGACTGTGCTGCTCCACATTGTCACATCTTCTGGTATGACCACTGGCCAGTGCTGCACTCACATGATTGGTTACCGGTACTTGAGACTTGGGAGTTTACCATACTGGCAAGGCAACCCCACGCTACCTACATACACTTGCTCAAATAAACATGGAGTTGCTTGCAACGCTAGGGCTAGTATCGTGGGAACTTATGCGATCTGATACCGGCAGAAAATAAAAGGTATTTGGAAACTCTACCAAGGAATTTCCTGCCCGTCCCATGCAAAAAACTTGCCATTATCGGCTCCAGTGACTCTGTCTATAATCCCCAGCAGCTTCTGGGCAGCAAACTCGCGCTTGAAGAGTTTTCCGGGCGGCACAGCCCTCTGGAAGGGCTTGGACATATCTGTGTCTACTGTTCCCGGGTGGAGGAGGATGGCAGAAACTGGCTGCTTCTTTGCTGCCAACTCGATAGACATAGTGCGGACCACTGGGAAACGGGGGGAAGGGAAAGAGGGGAGGTTGTGGGAGAGGGGTCGAGGAAAAGCGAGAGAGTATCAAGGAGAAACACCAAAACTGGCTGCTTCTTTGCTGCCAACTCGATAGACATAGTGCGGACCACTGGGAGGGAGGAGGGAGGGGCAGGGGAGGGCTTAAGAAAAAGTGAGAGAGTATGAAGGAGAAACCCCAAAGCTCGATGGGCATTGTGCGGACCCCTGGGGGGTTGGAGAAGGAGAGGGGGGAGGGGAGGAGCGAGCGCGATGGTTGAGAGGTTTAAGGAACGGGGGCGTGTGTGGGAATGAGAAGGGATGCTTATGTGTGCAGAGGGGTGGGGTGAGATGGGCCATGGCGGTACTAGGAGGAGGACGTGCGAGGGTTGGAGAGAAAAGGGGAGAGCAAGGTCGGTTGTGATTGAGAAAGCAAAGTATGATCAAACAACACCGATGCTCCGTGCCTGCCCTTGATGCGTGGTGAGAGTGCCCCCACCACTCTGCCGTTGCATCATGAGTTGACTCAGAACACACTGGGACACTCACACTTATTCAGTGCAGACTTCAATGCGCGGTACGAGTGCCAAACCCCTAGTCAGTTATTGCCCATCGAGGAGGACACGTGCCGCTGCCACCTCCCTTCCTGCCTCCCGGTCGACTGAGAAGAACACACCTGGACAAATGTGCACCAACTTACACCTTTTCAGGGCAGCCTGTGAGGCGCGGTGCAAGTGACGAGTTTTGAGGCGCCTCAAAAGGCAGCCTGTGAGGCGCGGTGCAAGTGCCACTGGCCAGCATGTTGTGTCGCCTATCGAGGAGACCAGCACACTCGTACTAACTCGCTGCCACGGCCACCTCGTTCCCAGCTGCCGTACCTCAAGTTATCTCGGAATATACACCCAGAGAACTCACGCTGGTTCAGTGCCGTCTTTGATGCCACTACTCCCCCCTATCGCCTATCGAGGAAACCCGGGCACTGATGCTCGCTGCCACTGGCACCTGCCTGCCTGCCAGTGGTGTGCTATGAGTCGACCCATACCGCGCCCAGACAACTCACGCTGGTTCAGTGCAGTCTTTGACGCGCGGTACGAGTGCCAACCCCCCAGCCTGTTATCACCTATCGAGGACACACGTGCGCTCATGCTCGCTGCCACTGCCAACCCCACACCTGGACAACTCACGCTGGTTGAGAGCAGTCTTTGAAGCGCGGTAGGAATGCCACCCACCAAGCCTGTTATCACCTATGGAGGACACCCGTGCGCTCATGCTGGCTGCCACTGCCACCTCCCTCCCTGCCGCTGCGCCTCCTCCCACTGCCAGCAATGGCGCCATGTTCTGTGCCGTTGCACAGTAGGGACAGAGTGAAGAGGAGTTATGAGGTGACTAAACCAGCAACCGCGCCATCTTCTGTGCAATCAGCTACATGAAAATCACTTTCGAGAATTCTCAAGAGTGATTCTCATACAGCACAGTAGGGGCAGAGTGAAAAGGGGATATGAGGCGCCTAGACAAGCAACGGCGCCATCTTCTGTGCAATCAGCAGCGCAAGGGGAGAGTGAAAAGGGGATATGAGGCGCCTAGACAAGCAACGGCGCCATCTTCTGTGCAATCAGCACAGCAGGGAGACAGTGGAGAGAATGGGGAGAAAGGGGAGAAGGTTCGGGGAAGATGTGCCATGGACGGAAGCTGAAGTGACAACAAAGGCCAATGAGAGTGGTAAGAGAACAAAATGGGGGGAACGAAAGGGACAGGAAACACCGGAGAGACGAACGCGCTACCTGCACGGTGTACCCCTATCTCCCGTACCAAGCTGAATTTTGAGTCTATCTCTCACGATTCATCTCCCACTCTCTCCTTAAATCGTCCCGTTCCCCTTTCCCTTCAGACACACTCTTTACTTTATTACAACCAACCATGCTGTACCAATCAGAGCTGACTTTCTGGGACTTGGCCGCCCAACCATTCAGTAAAGTGCCCACACCACATGGCGTGAGACGACTTTTGAGTCGACTCAAAAGTCATTTAGTGAAGTGCCCAAACCACAAGGCGTAGAGTATTTCAATACCACCCCATAAGCACCTTCACCATCAGTCCCGCCCGCTTCGTTGTAAGAACATTCCTCGGAAAAATACTCCTCCATACAGACAATTTGTTGTATGTCGATTAAACTCTCATGGCATGCAAACTGGGGAGTTGCTTGTCCAAGACTTTGGTACTCTTATGGCTTTTGAATTTGAATTGCAGCCACAGGGCCTACCTATCCTATCTTATTCACAATGCATGCGCACCATAATTACCAGTGCTCGCCCCGTAGCTGGTTACTCTAAATGCTCTCACACACCTTGATGACCAGCGCTGGCCCCATTGCGTTGACTTGGAAGCTGGTGAGCAAGGCCTGTGGCGTGAGTGCTTTCATGGACGTCTCTGCAGGCACAGGGAAGGGGAGAGGGTGTGCGGATTGGGGACACGGATCCATAGGGGAAGGCTTGAAAGCGTGCATGGCTTTCAACCAAGAGCACAGTGGGACGCTTGGGCAGAGCTGGTGGCACGATAGCTCGAAGAGGGGGACGCAGTGGAAAAAATAAGCGAGTGGGAAGAATTAGAGAATGGGAAGAATCAGCGAGTAGGAAGAAATGGAAAGTGAGAAGTTGCGGAAAATGACTATCAGGGTGAAGAGAGGGAACAGCTTGTCAGCACTCGTACCACACACAGCCCACTCGCACCACAAACAGCCCACTCGCACCACACACAGCCCACTCGCACCACACACAGCCCACACGCACCACACACAGCCCACTCGCACCACACACAGCCCACTCGCACCACACACAGCCCACTCGCACCACACGCAGCTCCCAGTAGCACCACACACAGCCCATGCATGCCAAAGCGCATTGCAGCAGGCAACACAACACACCTTCACACGGGCAGCGCAATGCGAGATGTGCCTCACCGCGCACCTGGTTTCATGGCGCCCGGCATGTGGAGAAGACCAGACGCGTTGATGAGGAGGTTGAGGTGCCCCCACGTGGCTGACACATGCCGTGCTGCTTCCTGTTGTGACGCCCCTGCGCCATCCCATGCAAGCGTGCATGCCATCCCATGCAAGCGTGCATGCCATCCCATGCAAGCGTGCATGCCATCATGGCATTTACGAGACATGAACACCATACACCATGCACCGTGCCATGTAACCACCATGCCAATTATATACATTGGAATTCCATATTTGGATCAGACCACGATACAATGCCGGTGTAAGTGTAGTGTAGCCGGAGAGACACAACTCTTGCACCGCGTCTATCCCCCCAAAAGACGCCTCATCTCTCACCCTTCCCTAGAGACACCGCGTCTTTAACCCACCCCAATACACGCCGCGTCTCTAACCCACCCCAATACACGCCGCATCCCTAACCCACCCCATTACACGTCTCGTCTCTCACCCACCCCAACACACGCCGCGTCTCTAACACACCCCAACACACACCGCGTCTCCAACACACCCCAACACACACCGCGTCTCTAACACACCCCAACACACACCGCGTCTCTAACACACCCCAACACACACCGCGTCTCTAACACACCCCAACACACACCGCGTCTCCAACACACCCCAACACACACCGCGTCTCTAACACACCCCAACACACACCGCGTCTCTAACACACCCCAACACACACCGCGTCTCCAACACACCCCAACACACACCGCGTCTCTAACACACCCCAACACACACCGCGTCTCCAACACACCCCAACACACACCGCGTCTCCAACACACCCCAACACACACCGCGTCTCTAACACACCCCAACACACACCGCGTCTCCAACACACCCCAACACACACCGCGTCTCCAACACACCCCAACACACACCGCGTCTCCAACACACCTTGAGTTTTGTGTTTCCTGGAGGCGTTAGCTTTTCTTTTAAGGCTTCTGCTCCACTCTGTTTTTCATTCTCGTAGGCACTGATGAAGGCCTGGTAGGGGATGCCCTCCAGCCGAAACATGTTTGTCTTGTTTTCATTTCTGTTAACGAGAAGAGTTCCGGTTTCACAGACTCTCGGCTATCAGCTAGTGTTTAGAGTTTCACTGTTTTTTCTTACTTGCTTAAGCCTCTAAACCTGGCACTGCTGCTCACTGGAATTATGTCAGAGGATCTGCTAACACCCCAATATACGCCTCACCTCTCACCCACCTCGATCCACGCCTCGCCTATCACCCACCTCTATGGAGGCCTCATCGGTCACGTCCAGGGGGAGAAAAGTCAGTTGATCCGCGACTTGACTTTTGGTCCACCCATAAATGCACCTCGTCGCTCACGCACCTAGATACACGCCTCGTCTCTCACCCACCTCGATGGTTGCCTCATCGGTCACGTCCAGGGGGAGAACAGTCAGCCGATCCCCGCTTCTACTCTGGAGCTCCTGTAGCGCCGCTGCTGCTGCAGGATTGCGACACGTGGCAATGACGTGGCTGTCAGGGTTCCTCTGGAGCAGCTGCCGAACCTGCCAACCAACGGTTGAAGGTGGATATAATCATGAATGAGCCACAATCGTCCATGTCAGAGGAGACTCTAGTGCTTCGACCGCACTCTCCCTGTTGACAAGTATATTCGCACGACTCAAAGAAAGCTGCCGAACCGAACCTGCCAACCAGCGGTCAAAGGTGGATGAATCATGGATGAGCCACCACCGTGCATGTCAGAGGAAATTCTCGTGCTTCGACCGCACGGTCCCTGTCCTTTGATGAGGCTAGAGCTCGCATAATGTTTTTGAGGTACTCAAAGAAAGGTGCAGAACATGCCAACAGACTTAGCGAAGGTGGATGAATCATGAATGAGCCACCATCTTCCATGTCAGAAGAGATTCCAGTGCTTTGACTGCACGGTCCATCAGGGAATCTGTCAGTCGAACAATCCTGAGAAAAGTCGAACTCTCTCAGCTGTTCGAAATGGTATGACCCTTTGAAACGGTTAACAAACGTTTCCAATGTTGGTGACACGGGAAAAATACCAAATTAAGATTGAGGTACAAAATATACACGTTCGTCACAAATTTGAGAAGGGGGGAAGAGGCGGAAAAGGTGAGCTTTTTCACAAAAAAAGAACAAGAAAAAAAGCAGCAGTGCAAAAACATCAGAGAGTAAACCAGATAAGTGGGAACCACATAGAGGAAACCAGCAGACAGGAAACCAGCTGAGGGGGAACGCAGCAGGAAAACCGCCGGGAGAGAGGAAGACAGATGGCACGTACCAGTTCCAGCCCGATGCCTCGCGACGCCCCTTGCACGAGCGACACCTCCCTCGCTGTCGCACTGCCGTCGCGAATCGTCGCAAGCGATCGAGATCGAACACCACGCAGCCTGGCTACTCTCGTCGCATCGATTGGGCTCAAAGAAACGGAGTCCCCTGAATCGGCGGTCCCCGAAAGAATGGAAGATAATGACGAGATAGTACCAACGCCGCGCCAGGTGGCTGTTTCGGGGGTTACTAATGGAACGTGCGCGACTCGGCCAAAAGAGGCGGCGGAGGCCGATGAACCAACTTGATTAACGGAAAGCGCAGTGGAAACTCGAGATGCCGCGATTGATGCGAGTTTAAGGGCCATGGCAGGCAGTGCTTGAAGCACAGTTCAATAGGTTATGGTATGCGCCGTAGCTGCAAAACGACTGCAAACAAACTCGCCTCATCGCAAAAATTTACTGCATAAGGTGCGCATCTCGGCGCTCTCTCTCTCCAATACGAGTCACTCCACGGTTTGCTCAGCTCGAGGTGAGATAGTGAACACGTAGGTGGTCTGGCTGGGAGCCATGGATTGCGCCGTCAAGATGACTCCACGTTTCGTGCTCATAATCCGCGATATGACACGGTCCAGATAGCCTCTGGAATGGCACTTTGTGGAGTGTTTAGTAATCTTTCTGTACATTCAATAAGCATCTCTTTCCGCCATTGCGATACATCAGATCTGGGCGGAGGGGTGACTGTGTGTTTCGGGGGAAGAGATTCCGGGCTCGGCGCGTCCTCAGGCGCATTGAGGCAGCCTTTCGGTTGCATGTGAGGGTCTACACGCGTGCCATGGGGAAGAAGCTCGGAAAAAGCGGCGGTTTGAAAGGACACACCAATTCACATGCGCTGGCAGGACAGGAGGACAGCTTGCTTGGACGCATCCGTTGTCCGTCGGTAAAAGGCTGGAAGTGGACGCACAGTTTTGGCGCGCTTTGGAGTCTTGCAAGGGGGGCTCTGCATCCGCCTTAGAATTCTCGCATGGGGCCACCTCTGAGGGTTGGCCTCTCGCGCTCAGTTACGACTGACATATATCTCTTGTACGCTTGCCTCACCGGTGTATTCTGATATATACATAATGAAAAAAAAGGAGTGTTCCATTTTTTCACATTTTGGCGGTCGTTGGTGGTGTTTGTGGTACTTCTGTGTGTGTCGACGCTGACGCTACCAACGCTGGCTATGAGGTCAGGAAGACGTGCCACGGCAGGAGGGAACCTCGAGGTCCGTGGCAATCAGGCCTCTGCGTGGTTTGTGCATCGGCTGAAGAGTCGCCACGTCGGATGCGCAATCCCCTAGAAGACTCCTTCAAACCGAAGCACAAGTTTACCGCGTCGCCTGATGGGAGCCTACCACCAGCCTCGGAAATTCCCGCCAGAAACTTCTCCCTCGATATCACCCCACCTCGGCCAAGCCAACCTCCCAACCAGCCCCGTGCCTCATGAAAATCGTGACACCGTCCAATATCCCGAACTTTTACAAACCAACCGAGAGGAAATACTACCTGCCAACAAACCACACCTTCCACACCACAATGCCTCCCATAATCCCATCCAGCAGAACAGAACACATCCCCAGGCAGAGCACCCCCAAAAAGTCTCGAAATTCCTGGAAACTGTTTCTGCTTCATCCATGCTAACTACATAATCCACCATTCCGTCTCAGTACCTCTTTCCCACCAACGTTCGTTCAGGCCATTGTATTACTCGCACGCAAAGCTCGCATCCAACTCGCCTTTCACCGTGACATTTCGTTCAGTTTTTGGTAGTTAACGGTGTAGTGGTTGTCCCTGTAACCGTATATTTCAGGGGCTGCATCCCAATGGCGCCGACAGGAGAGTACGTTCTCCTCCATTATGATTCTGTCTGTGAAGATTGACTGACATACCCTGGCTTAACCTGCCTGAACAGTAGTGAATGGTTGCAGATGCATATTCAGATGACACGTTGTTAGGCTGAATGTAGTTGAACATCGCTGTTCCGTTTTTCAGTAGACTCAGTTGAACACCTGAAAGCAGCATTGTTCCGCTTTTGAGTAAACTCAGAATTTACTTGAATGCAACGTTATTCCGCTAGACAAACGAATTCCTCTGACCGTCTTTCCTGTTTGAAATTTAAACTCCTGCAGGAATGGCGTCATCTCGCCACTGTTCACGCTAGAAGAAGACGCTGAATTGGTTACTCAGTCCGAGCCAGCCCGCGTAATTCCCGCGCCTATCACAACTTGCTTCTTCGGTAAGCCGTAGCCATTCAGCCTCGCGTAACCAGCGCACTTCATCGTAGACAACTACTAATTAGCGGTTTCAACGAAGCATCGCGTTCTTGTAATTCCCGTTCCACCCAATCATTGTGGTCCCGTCGCCAGGCAGCGACTCATTCAAGGATTTCGCCAGTGTCAGATTACAGATGTTTGTGATTGTGAACTCACCGCTGTGTGTACCAACATGCTTCCATTTGTGCTGCAGATTTGGATGATACCCTGTATCCTCATAGCGCTGGCCTCAGCTGTGTGAAGAATATTGAAGGTACGGCTACCCTCTGAAGATGGCTCAATGTTATTTCACCACAAGTGCGCTCCCAGCTTACGAATTTGTATGCTTGCCGAATATTTGTGATCCACATTTTGTAAGCATTCGAAGCAGAAATCCTGTTGTGATTCGTTTTGGTCATGGATACAGAAGCCAATGTGTTATCCGATTGATTTGCCGGCGTTCACTCTCCGCCCTCTCTATCCCTCTTCCTCCTCTCTTCTCGTCTCTCAGATTACATGGTTCAACACCTGGGTTTCTCAGCAGATACCTCAGGCGAGGAGGCCATCAGGCTGTACAAGGAGCATGGCACCTCCATGGCTGGACTCAGGGTGAGTCCTGGGCGTAACTCGCAGATCTCAGACTCGATGGGCGTAACAGCTGTCGGTTAGGTAGTATAGTGTAAGACCTGGCACAGGCGCATTGGCACATAGCCGTAGTGGGTACACTTGGCGTGGCGTAGTGCGTGCACTTAGTAGCCCGACCCTACACCCGGGTTGTGCTGTGGACGGCATCAGAGCGTATTTGTTGTCTCTTCAGCCGTAGGCTGTGTCGGCAGTGTGGCGAGCAGCAAGTCACGGCTCGTGTGTGCACCACGTGTGGAGGATGATTTCTGGAGATTTGCTTCAGGAACAGGATTGAGAGTAATTGCGGTGCCAAGTATTTCAGGTTGGGGGAACGTGAGTCTGCTGCTGTGGTCTACATGATGTGATGCTGTCACCAGGGTGCCATAGGCGATTTCGCGATGTGTTTAAATGGGTGATACACTTGGAGTAGGTGATTCCAGCTAAGTTTCATCACTATTCAAACAACACTGATGGCCTGAATTTGTAAATTATCCAAGCCGCCTGCATTGGTCTGTGCTGTCCTGACATTTTCGTTTGGGATTTATGTTGCAGGCAGAAGGTTACGCCTTCGACTTTGACGACTGGCATGCGTGAGTCCAAGTCAAGCCTCCTTTTCTACTATCAGAAGCAGTACCACAAGTTACCGCAGGTCACATTCGTTTACGAATGACAATCCCTCAAGGAGCGTTTGTGACCTTTGCCTTTAGGAGCTCTCTGTTGCGTTTTGTTTCGTGTCCCAACTCAGATTCACCTCCCATTCTCATGTTGACTATGTGCGTTTCCCACTGTGTTTGCACCCTTGCTTTCCCCATCCGCGTCTCTCATCTCCCTGCCTTCCTCAACTCCCCGCCTTCCTCATCCCTGCAGATTCGTCCACGGCCGACTGCCATACCACCTGCTGAAGCCAGACCCCGCCTTGAGGCACCTGCTGGAGTCACTTCCTCAACGCAAATTTGTAAGTCCCTCGGTTTAGCAGCATCCAGTCAGACAAAGCATGCGCGGTTCACAGTGGGCTAGCAGGAGCATTGGCATGGACTCTGGTCCGCGATTGCCCCTCGTGCATCAGTGAATGCAGTGGCTGCACGCCACCCACCATGCCCATCTGTATTGGTAGCTTGAATAAGCAGCTTTACAGCACATGCCACTTCTCACAACATGCCGCTGCTTCCCACATGCCGCTGCTTCCCACATGCCGCTGCTCACCACATGCCGCTGCTCAGTGTGGAGGGTCGCCCCTGCCCATTCGCTAACACATCTTTCACCACATCTTTATTTTTTCCGCAACTCCCTTCCTCCACCCTTCCACCTCTGTCCACCCCCCTCCACCCCCACAGGTGTTCACCAACGCCGATCGCGCCCACGCCAGTCGGTGCCTGCACCTGCTGGGCCTGGAAGGGTGCTTTGACGCCGTGATTGCATTCGAGGACGTCATGGCGCACCACCCGTCTCTGCCCTTCTCCCTGCGAAACAACTTCCGCCCTTCATGCACCACCTCTGACATCCCTAACGTTTCTGACGGCTCTGAATATCTTCTGGACTCCGACCATGGTCTGCTCCCATCCTCTCTGCCGCCCATTCCCTCCGCCTCCTCCACCGCCTCCCTCCCCTCAGCTAACCTGTCAAGCGATTGCAGTAATGGCAGCAGTGGCAGCAGCTCTCCAGAGCGCTTGCTACCAATCAGTATCCAGGAACAGCAAGAAGGACCAAGTGAGCAGCAGCAGCAGCAGCAGCAGCAGCAGCAGCAGCGTGATTTAGAGCAGCAGGAATCAGAACAGGTGAACTTACCCCAGGTGCCACCTTTCCGCTGCAACAGCCGCCGCTGCGTCAGTGCAGATGCACTGGTGGAGCTGCTGCTGCTCACCCTCTTGCTGCACACGCTCATCGTGACGTCGCCAGGCTAGCAGCAGCTTCTCCAGCAGCAGAAGCAGCAGCAGCAGCACCAGCACCAACAGCAACAGCAGCAGCACCACCAGCAGCACCAACAGCAACAGCAGCAGCTGCTGCAGCATCTAAAGTGGCGCAGTCGTGGTCGAGTCCGGCCGGGCCTCTCATCTGCTGCAAGCCCCAGGCTGAGGCGTTTCACCGGGCAGTGGTTGGCATTGCACGCGCTGACCCACACTCATCGGTATGTCTCCGCTGCTCCCATCCTCTCTGAGTTCCCGCTCTCTGCATGGCGTGCTGCTTGTGTGAAATCCCTCTTGCGCCTTTCCATGCGGCTGATGCTGACTCGGAACTCATTCGTGCATATGCTGGTTCTTGTGCCTTGCTCGCTTCACCGTTGTGACATCTGAACATTAGCAGTGGCAAAATTTACCTTTCTTTTGGGCTTACTTCGCTGCTCTTGCGTCTGGCTGTGTTTATGGCGATGCCACTAGTGTGTGGCACCACCTTACAAGACATATTGCTTTCCAAACGACTATTCCGTGTCTTGTGCTGCAGATATTCTTTGATGACAGCACTCGCAACATCGCAGCGGCCAAGAGATTTGGCATGCTTACAGTTCTGGTATGTCATGCTGAGCTGAACCCTTCTCGCAAGCTTGCACCCCTTTTGCCTGTGCATTTTAGTACCACTCACTTGATTCGGCAGTTACAATCTCCCGTTTTCATCTGCGCTGCCCTAATGCTTCCGTGCATGTGATTGGGTCCTGTCACCTTATAATTTCTCATGACTCTGGCTTCATGATTCCTGGATGTTTGCATATGGTTTTCGTTTCATTATATTTTTACTATGTCCTCTTTCTTGCAGGTTGGAACATCTCAATCATCAGCAGGAGCAGATCATGTTATGGAAGATATTCATGAAATGAAGAAGCAAATTCCAGCGTTGTGGACAGAGTCTGCAAATAACGAGACAGGCATAGTGACGGAAGGTGTTAGAGAGTCCCCATGCATCTGCCATCATAGCAGAAACCTGGGCCTTGTGTTGGCATGAAAATAATTTCGATTGCTTGTCATCAGTCACGACTTACGGTATTTGACAAAAATCAATGTCTGGTTGATACTGCTACTGCTTAGTTAGTCCCCCCTCCCCAGCGGCAAATGCTGACTGAGCAATGAGCATCCATACACACTGCGGGGGTATGGGTAACGGTTCTGCTTGCACAGCTTGATGCACTATGCTTGGCAGATGATTTTGTCTTGCCTGTCTGATACTAATCCCGGTAAATGGTTACTCTGCCATGAAACTACATTCGTTGAAAGAGTTGAGCCCTACTAGCGGAAACAGATTCAAAGGCCAGTCAAGAAACAGCGCCATCTATCTCAAAATACTCCAATGAGCCTTGTAGTTCTCCTAAAATTACTCGGCTCACAGCTCGCCATCATCCTCCCGCTTGTAGAAGTCATCATCGGCATCAAAATCCTCGTCATCATCATCATCCTCCCCCTGGGGGTCTGTGTCGTCAATGTCGTCGTCATTGAAATCCTCATCCTCAGGCTCCTCCTCCTCCGGCACATCCACTATGTCCACCAGCTCTGTCTCAAAGATAAGCGTCGCTCCACCTGGTAGTGGGACAGGGGGAGGGAGGAAATGGGGGAAAGAGAGAGATTAGTGGCTCACAACATCTCCTCCTCGTCCGGCACATCCACTATGTCCACCAGCTCCGTCTCAAAGAGGAGCGTCGCTCCACCTGCAGGCACGGAGGAGGGAGGAAATGGGGGAGGGAAGGAAGGAGGAAGGGAGGTAGGGAGGGAAGGAGAGAGGGAGGGAGGAAAGGAGGGGGGGGAGGGAGGGAGGGAGGGAGGGAGGGAGGGAGGGAGGGAGGGAGGGAGGGAGGGAGGGTGGGAGGGAGGGCGGGAGGGAGGGTGGGAGGGAGGGCGGGAGGGAGGGAGGGAGGGAGGGCGGGAGGGAGGGAGGGAGGGAGGGAGGGAGGGAGGGAGGGAGGGAGGGAGGGAGGGAGGGAGGGAGGGAGGGAGGGAGGGAGGGAGGGAAGGAGGGAGAGAGGGAGGGAGGGAGGGAGGGAGGGAGGGAGGGAGGGATGGAGGGAGGGAGGGAGGGAGGGAGGGAGAGAGGGAGGGAGGGAGGGAGGGAGGGGGAGAGGGAAGGGCGGGAGTTGGGGGAGGGAGGGGAAGTGGTTGACGCCAGCTCCTCCTCCGCCACATGCATGACATAAACCAGCTCCATTTCAAAAACAAGCTCGCAGCAGTTCAGAGTGATGGAGGAGTACGGTGCAAGTCAAATTGCAGGGAAAGAAGGGATTGGGGGAACATGGGGAAGGAGGATGGAGGGGAGAGGGACGCAAGCAAGAGAGGCCGTGACAGCGTTATGCCCAGTCTTTATTAACTCTCGCAGTATTTCGAGTGTTTGGTGTATACGTCAACACCCAACGAGTGGAAACACCGAAAATCAACATCCAGTATAGATAAACCGGGGCAAACACGAATGACTTAAGCACTCACCTGGAATCTTGGGAGGAGAGCCGTTCTCGCCATAGCCCATGTGGGGCGGGATTTTGAGCTTGCGCTTCTCGCCAATGCACATGCCGAGGATGCCAATATCCCACCCTGTCACGTGAGAGAGGGACGGTCAGGGGGACGTTCAGAGGAATGTTCGTGCCATAGCGGTTGGACATGAATCAGGAACGCAACCATACTTCCAGACAAGGGTGTAACGAAACCAGCGCGACTTGCCTCCAAAGGTATCGCCTTGTTTGGCATTCTATCACTACAAGGCTTTTTGTAGGAGTTAAGACCTCCTCAAGCTCGACCGACTTTCGTGAACTTACCTAGTTACGGATTGTTTGACAGCCAGCGATCGCACTTCTGTCTCTCACCTTTGATCACGTTGCCCATGCCAAGGCGGAACTCGAAGGGGTCGTTGCGGTCGTAGCTGGAGTCGAATTTAGTGCCATCGGTGAGCATGCCCTGCACGTGCAACGTGAGCGACAGGGTTCGACACGTCAGGACACGTCAGGGTTAGGACACGTCAGAGTTAGGACAGATCGACATGTAGACTATTTGGAAGTTCTTCCGTGTGCATTCGGAAAGGCAGCTGCGAATACACTAGTACGCAACGCTTACTTGGAGGGTATACAAGGCTGCACTGCTCTATGCTCTCCACCCATCGCAAGCAGTTGCGTGCTAACGATAACCGTGCTTTTTCTATGCTTCGCCGCCTGCTGGAGAGCAATGTCTGACTTGATCCACGAAGACTTGAGTTTAGGGCTTCCTGGAAAAAAACGAAAGTGAACCACGTGCTACTAAGATCAACGAACGAGTCTGACGCAACAGGCGCGACTCTGACTTACTCCGCCACAGGACACGAATCGCATTGGAGGACCGCAATTCGCTTCCGTCATCACCCGTTCTACCAAGGTCCAAGCCACGTCAGTCCGTCTTGTCGTGCTGTAAGCGTCAGGTTGTCTGACCGTGCTTCAAGCGTCAGCCGCCTAATTATGTTATAAGGGTCAGTCCGTCTAGTCGAGCTTCAGGTGTCAGTCGTCTAGTCCTACCATCGTCCGTTGAAGTCCGAAAACCGTAGGTATTGCTGCAACAGGTATTCGACGACGACCTGATTCGCTGTACAATCGGTACCACTGAATTACTGCCAGTAATATCCCACTGCGTTCCTTCCCAATCCTTGCTTTCTACTCTTAATTGGCAGTTCAAAGACACGCGACGGAACCGTGTGAGTTGATGTGCGACCCGCAATGCACGGCCCTAGATTTCTACGTGGACGAAACAGACGCTCACCTTGTAGTGAACCTTGACAGTATCGAGGTTCTTAGCCTTGCGCGGACAGTCCTTGGGCTTGAACTGCCATCACCCACCAGGAAACACCCCACGGATCAATGTCAGACCAGGTGAACAATCAAGTAGTGCAGGCTGCGAACAGTGAAAGTTGCACGTGATTAGGGATATGCGATATAATGTGCGTAACATGTGCCGGTAAAGAGCCTTAGGCTTACCTTGACGCCGATCTGAAGCTGGGTGACGTCCTTCTCAGTCTTCGCAGCCACTGCACAAAACAACCCGTGATGTTGGTGACTGGCCTAAAAAAAGAGGGAAAAAAAGGAGAGAAAAAATGAATTCAGAAAGCACATAGAACAATGAGAAACTCACCGCAAAGCGCGTAAACAATTAACAGGGCGACGCCAGATAGCAGACGTGACGCCATAGTTGCTACTTCCTGAAAGGTTTCTCAGACTCAGATTCAATCTGAGAAATTTGAGCAGCACTGCTGCATTTTCATTTTCATCCTCTCTCGGAGGATCAAATTCCATTCAGGTCGACTGGCGAAACAGGTGGACCTGACCTGACTGGCGCCAACCTGTGAGGCTTCTCGAAGCCACTGACGGACGGTGCAATATTGACCGCTCATTTGCGCGGGCTTTCAAAACTGACGGATGTTTGGATGTCAGAAGGTCGGTCGGTGTTGATTGGGTTTGGGTAATCACGGTCTTTTTGCACTGTGTTGCACTGTGGTTACCAGAGGCAGCATCGTTCCGAAACAGCTCCGCAAGCGTTCGTGTCGTTCGCAAACGTCGCAGAACCTTTGGCTGAGATATTGAACCCTACCTGTTGAAACTATTGAAAAGAGTCAACGACTGTACACCAACCAAATTCGTAAAATCTTAAATCTATCACACTAAACCTTTTCTTCTAGACACCACACTCCACCAGTAACGTTTATTTCCACTTCAAATTGACGTCTCTTTCAGCGCGTTTCACGTTGCTGCGTTTTCTCCTAGTTGCTCTTACCACATGCTCTCCATTAACAATTATTAGCCGAAGAGAAACAGCGTCACCACTTAGACCCACCACAAATCAGCTTCGGAATAGTGGAACATAGCGTGCCTCTACGTTGAATTCTGCCATTTCATACGTACTTGAGCTTCGTGTCGTTCTTCATCCGTGACGGCAAGTGGTGGGTCCATGGGGGACGAGTATCATGAATCCTCACTCACAACAGCAGGGGCCGCTGAAGGCGGAACGGCAAAGGAGAGCTTCGCGCTCACGGTGAAAAAGTAAGGGGTCCTTGTTTGAGACATGGTATAAATGAATTCTGACGAGAGCAGACCGCGAAAAGTCACGGAAATCATAATAATTAATATGACAATCGCAGTTGTGGTGTTGCAGCTGTACCTCATCTCAAGTGTAACAATTGCAGCGATACAGCTCTAGCTCCTTATCTGGTGCTACAGTTGCAGCTCTTCATTTGGTGTCAATTTTGTGCTTCTCACTTGGTCTTTGCAGCAATTTCGAGAGCCTCCATCAGCTAGGCTTCGCTCCCAACGACGCTGCAGCGCTTGCTCTGAAGATTGCCATGGGGAAAGGTTGGTGCACATGCATGCTTCTCCTTTATGGTGCTATGGATTCCTTGTGTCCTCCTCTCTTTTATTTGTATCTTAAGATCGCCATGGGAAAAGGTTTGTACACATGCACGCTCCTCCCCTTTTACGGGGTACAGTCCCTCCTTCTCCCTTTCACCCTTCTCCCTTTCACTCTTCTCCCTTTCACTTTTCTCCCTTTCACTCTTCTCCCTTTCACTCTTCTCCCTTTCACTCTTCTCCCTTTCACTCTTCTCCCTTTCACTCTTCTCCCTTTCACTCTTCTCCCTTTCACTCTTCTCCCTTTCACTCTTCTCCCTTTCACTCTTCTCCCTTTCACTCTTCTCCCTTTCACTCTTCTCCCTTTCACTTCTCCCTTTCACTCTTCTTCCTTTCACTCTTCTCCCTTTCACTCTTCTCCCTTTCACTCTTCTCCCTTTCACTCTTCTCCCTTTCACTCTTTTCCCTTTCACTCTTCTCCCTTTCACTCTTCTTCCTTTCACTCTTCTTCCTTTCACTCTTCTTCCTTTCACTCTTCTCCCTTTCACTCTTCTCCCTTTCACTCTTCTCCCTTTCACTCTTCTCCCTTTCACTCTTCTCCCTTTCACTCTTCTTCCTTTCACTCTTCTCCCTTTCACTCTTCTCCCTTTCACTCTTCTTCCTTTCACTCTTCTTCCTTTCACTCTTCTCCCTTTCACTCTTCTCCCTTTCACTCTTCTTCCTTTCACTCTTCTCCCTTTCGCTCTTCTCCCTTTCACTCTTCTCCCTTTCACTCTTCTCCCTTTCACTCTTCTCCCTTTCACTCTTCTCCCTTTCACTCTTCTCCCTTTCACTCTTCTCCCTTTCACTCTTCTCCCTTTCACTCTTCTCCCTTTCACTCTTCTTCCTTTCACTCTTCTTCCTTTCACTCTTCTTCCTTTCACTCTTCTCCCTTTCACTCTTCTTCCTTTCACTCTTCTCCCTTTCACTCTTCTCCCTTTCACTCTTCTCCCTTGCACTCTTCTCCCTTTCACTCTTCTCCCTTTCACTCTTCTCCCTTTCACTCTTCTCCCTTTCACTCTTCTCCCTTTCACTCTTCTTCCTTTCACTCTTCTCCCTTTCACTCTTCTCCCTTTCACTCTTCTCCCTTTCACTCTTCTCCCTTTCACTCTTCTCCCTTTCACTCTTCTCCCTTTCACTCTTCTCCCTTTCACTCTTCTCCCTTTCACTCTTCTCCCTTTCACTCTTCTCCCTTTCACTCTTCTCCCTTTCACTCTTCTTCCTTTCACTCTTCTTCCTTTCACTCTTCTCCCTTTCACTCTTCTTCCTTTCACTCTTCTCCCTTTCACTCTTCTTCCTTGTGCACTCCCTTCCTTCCCTGCTCGCATGGGCTGTTTTGCCCGCGATAACTATTGCTGGCACCTCCTTGTTATTTAGAAGCGCCTATAGGGTGTTATTGAAAATATATAAAACCCTTACAGTCTAGGGTGTTGCGAGAACTCTTAAATTCAACCTGAAAAATCTTCTGTCGGCTACCTCTTTTTTTTGTCTTTTTTTTTTGCGACATCGTTTTTTTTCTTCTTCTTTTCTTCGTTTTATTGCCTGCGCATCCCCACTTTCTTGATTTCCCCATTCTAGGTTCAGTACATTTGAAATCTCCACACACCGAATGAAGCCATGGACGAAGCTCATGTCCTTACACATTGACCTCAATCTCCTTCAATCCACAATCCTCTTGCTGCTGACATGGCATGACATACCCACTCATGCGCGCCCATCATCCTCCGCCCTCATTCTTGGCTTGAGTGACCCCCCCGCCCATTCCAGCGGAGCTCCTAGCAGCAATCTCCAGGGCGCGTGCCAGCAGGGCAACGAGGGCCAGCAGTGCAGCCCAGGACAGCCGCCACGTGGCAGAGCTGATACCCAAGGTGCTGTCGTCAGCAGACGCTGTGAGCCTGGTGTTCCTCGCCATGCCAGAAGGGCTCTCCAAGGGCAACCTGCTGGGTGAGTGGGGGAATGCGGTAATTTAGTGTGATAGGTAAAGTGTGGCTGATTGCGGGAAAGCTGCACAATTGGGGTGGATGAAGGGGTTTCGAGCTGGTCGACTCTAGAATCTGTGAGCCTGGTGTTCCTGGCCATGCCGGTCTTTATGAAGGCAATTTGCTGGGTGAGTGGAGAATGTGGTAGTTGAGTGCGGTGGGTGAGTGATTGCGCGGGGTATGGGAGTGTTACAGAGAGGGGTTTCGGGCATTGAGTGGAATTTCAAGTTGACTCTTAATTCAGTGAGCCTGGTGTTCCTGGCCATGCCGGAGGGGCTCTCCAAAGGCAACCTTTTGGGTGATTGAGGGAATGCGGTATGAGAAGGGTGGATGGAGGGGTTTTGGGCATTGAGAGGTGGTGGAGGGTTAGGAGGGAGGCAGGGATGAATATGGATGAGGAAAATGCCCTGGCGGGGCTATTTCCTTCAGTTCTCATCCTGTTATCTGATGCATTGTCACCCCAATGCATCCTTCCAAGTTCTCCTGATGTCATATCGCCTTATCCGTCTCCTAATGCAATCATCTCCTCCTGTTTCATTGTTTCCACCACACCACTTGATCAGGAATTGACTCGGCGACTGTGAAGTTGTTCTACGATGGAGTGGCGAATCTGGTGAGTTGTAGAACAGAACAGGTTCACAGGTTCCACAGGTTCCATTCACACAGCACCGTGCCAAACGGATTGTCTGTGCTGCTGCGCCCCTGTCACCGTTGGGGTCGCTCTCACTTGTTGCCTCGCCCTCTCTTTTACTAGGAATATCCACGCCCCTCCAAGCCAAAGCCTCGCCCATTTAAAATCCTGCTCCCTCAGTCAGTCAATCAAGCCCCCTCTCAATCCACGCACCCTCACTCTGCACCACAGGGTGACGAGGTGGCAGCAGCAGTGGTGCGAGCCAGCGACAGACTTCTAAATGAGCTCGCCCACACCATGCCCTCCGCCCCCTCCTCCACTCTCGCCCACCACCTCCCCACCCCCCCGCCACCCTCCCGCCCTCCTGCCCTTGTCTCTCTCCCTGCACCTGCCACTGCTACCACCGCTGCGACAGCTGCCACGGCTGGGAGTGAGAGGGATGATGCCACTGCCACCACTGCTGCCACCACTGGCCCCACTGCTACCAATGCCACAACTGCTATGGACGTTGATTCCCAACCTGCACTGCCATTAACCGCCGCTGCTCCACCTTCCGAAAGCCTGGCCAGTGAAGCCCCCGCGAGTGCAGCAGCTGACGTGGACACAGGTGCAGGGGGGGCGGTGGGGGCAGGTGCAGGTGTAGCAACAGTAGCAGCAGCAGCAGTGGCTGCAGCAGCAGCAGCAGGGGCAACAGCAGGGGCAACAGCAGGGGCAACAGCAGGGGCAACAGCAGGGGCTGCAGCAGTGGTGGCAGGAGCAGCAGGGGCAGCAGCAGCAGCAGCAGGGGCGTCGGGCAGTGCGAAGAGGAAGGTGGAGTCGCTGGCAGCGGCAGCAGCGGAGGAGGGTGCAGGGCGAGATGCGGATGGGCCGTCGCCAGCTGTCATGCGCTCCCTGCTCTTCCTTCTCGACGTGAGTCAAGCCCGTCATGCTCCTGATTGCTACACTGCTCCAATCCTCTTGTGCTTCGGAAATGGGCAGCCAGCCAGATCCCTGCGCTGCTGCCCCTGCACGCTTCAGCTTGACAGTCCCCCTGGCCTGTGCTGTTCTGTGCATGTGCCTCTCCTGCCCCTCCCCCTCCTCCCGCTCCTGCCTCTCACACATCTCCCCAGAGCCCTTTCCTGATGGAGCCTGAGAACCATCCGCTGTACCGCCGCTTGTTTTTCAGCAGACCTCTTGATCTATCTGTACTTGTGCCCCTCCTGCCCCTCCTCCCGCGCATATCATCCCCCCAGAGCCCTTTCCTGATGGAGCCAGAGAACCATCCGCTGTACCGCCGCCGTCCTTTTGACAGTCTGCTTGATCCGTGTTGCTTGTCCCCTCCTGCCCCTCATCTGTCTCCTCCCTCTCCCCCCAGAGCCCTTTCCTAATGGAGCCCGAGAACCATACGCTATACCGCCGCCTGTGCGAGCTGCTGCTGGACCTGCCTCCACTCCCCCGCCAGCAGCTCATCTGCACCCTCGCCAGGCGAGTATTCGTGTACTGTTGCATGGTGCTGTACTGTTGCATGGTGCTGTACTGTTGCATGGTGCTGTACTGTTGCATGGTGCTGTACTGTTGCATGGTGCTGTGCTGTTGCATTTTCGCAAGCACCAGTTTTGCTACCCCTGCTGCCTCCTTCCACGAGCATCTTTAGCAGTCTCCGAGGAACTGCATGAGTCCACCATTCACTCTACACAAACTCCTTGTCCCTTATATCGCCACTGCCCTGTAAGCAGCTACGAACGCGGGCACCTACAGCAGGTGGTGGAGACGGCACGGCATGTGATCACACGCACCTGCCATTACTCCCTCCTCCCAACTCAGCACAACCATCATTCTCTTCCTCCTACCCCTGCCTTACCACGAGCAGCTACGAGCGGGCGCACCTACAGCAGGTGGTGGAGACGGCGCAGCACGTGATCACCATTCAGCTGTATGAGGCCCACCGCCTCATTGACACCGTCAAGCTCGCCACTCGCGTGCTCGGGATATTCTGTGAGCGCCGCTCCTGCTGCTGCTGCTCCTGCTGTTTCCCCTCTTGTTGCACCTGTTGCTGCTTCTGCTGCTGCTGCCCCTGCCACTGCTCCGCCTGCTGCCTCTGCTGCTGCTGCTGCTGCACCTGCTGTGGCTTTGCACAATCCGTTGTTGTGCCGACACATCACACATCACACATCGCACATCGCACATCACACATCGCACATCCCACATCCCACATCGCACATCCCACATCGCACATCCCACATCCCACATCCCACATCCCACATCGCACATCCCACATCGCACATCCCACATCCCACATCGCACATCCCACATCCCACATCGCACATCCCACATCGCACATCGCACATCGCACATCCCACATCGCACATCGCACATCGCACATCGTCCACTCGTCTTCGTTCGTGTGCATGGAGTGGACTCCCACCTCTAGACTTCACGACTTGCTGCCCCGTCTCTGTCACTCTGCGCCTCACTCACTGCCCCTCTGCTCTCTCAGCCACCCTTCTCCCACTCTCTCTCCCTTTTTGTGTGCTTCATGTGTGTGTCTTGTGTGCCGTGCGTGCCTGTTTGTGCCCTCACCAGTCGCGGCGAACAAGAAGGTTCATCAGCTGCCCCACTCGGCCTGCTCTCTGCTCTCTTCTTTCCGCTCTTCATTCCCTCGTCTCCCCCTCCCCCACTTCCTCTCTTTGTCTTGTGTGCCTGTGCCCGCACCACTGGTGGCAGTCGCGGCGAACGAGAGGGGCCGTCAGCTCCCACACTCGGCGTTCTACAACGACGCCCTCAACAGTGACGAGTTTGTGGACTTGGAGCAGGACTACAGCAAGTGGAAGCACAGAGACAGGTGGGTGCGGTGGGGTGCAGTGCGGTGGGGAGGGGTGTGGTGCGGTGGGGCAAATCAGAGGGGCCATCAGCTACCACACTCGGCGTTGTACAACGATGCCATCAACAGCGATGAGTTTGTGGACCTGGAGCAGGCAGGACTACAGCAAGTGGAAGCACAGAGACAGGTGGGTGCGGTGGGGTGGTGTGGGGTGGTGTGGGTGGGCAAGGATGGGATGAGAAGCAAGTTCGATGGTGAGTCCGTGGAGTGGACCTGGAGCAGGAATATTTAAAAGTGGAGGCACCGAGAAAGGTGGGTGGGGTGGGCGAGCTGGGTCTATGATGGACTGAAGAGCCAAGTTGTGAGACATCTGGGGAGCTTAATGCCAAGTCAAACTGGTGAATGGATGGCGAGTTTGTGAAACAGAACCCCGTCTCCTCCTCCCCGTGAACTGAGACGATTTTTGAGGCGCCTCAAGAATGGATGGCGAGTTTGTGAAACAGACAGAACCCCGTCTCCTCCTCCCCCCTAACCCACCCCCCCCATTTCCCCCGAGTTATCTGGACCCCTTTACTATGTGATTTTTGAGGCGCCTCAAGAATTATATCTGGACCCCTTAACTATCTGCAAGCATCCATACATCCTGGAGGCGGCCACAAAGGCAGCAGTGCTGCAAGTGGAGATGTCCCACCGCTTCCACGACACTTCCTCTCGTCTTGCCCTTCCTCTTTCTCTTGTTTTCATCCTCCCACCCGCCCAGGTATCTGGACCCATTCACTTAGTGCGAGCATCCATACATCCTCGAGGCAGCCAGCAAAGCAGCGATGCTGCAGGTGGAGTCACGAGTAGAGATGTCCCACCCCTTCCACGATGCTTCCTCTCATCTCCTCTTTCTTGTTCTCTTGCCCCAGGTAATATGCGAGCAGCCAGGTGGTATCTGGACCCGTTCACCCTGTGCGAGCAGCCAGGTGGTATCTGGACCCGTTCACCCTGTGCGAGCATCCATGTATCCTGGAAGCAGCCAACAAGGCGGCAGTGCTGCAGGTGGAGTCACGAGTGGAGATGTCCCACCACTTCCACGACACTTCCTCTCATCACACCTTTCCTCTTTCTCTTGAATTCATCCTCTCACCCCCCCAGGTATCTTGACCCCTTCACCCTGTGCGAGCATCCCTATATTCTCGAGGCAGCCAGCAAGGCGGCAGTGCTGCAGGTGGAGTCACGAGTGGAGATGTCCCACCGCTTCCACGATGCCTTGCTGGGCATGGCGCTCAGGGGACTCACGGGCGCACACATGGCGAACCCCTTCTGTGTGCTCATTGTTCGGCGGGATCACATTTTGGAAGACGCTATTCTGCAGGTAGGGGGTGCTGTGTGTTGTTTGCGCATGCAAAGAGCATGGTGTGTTGCCTCCCATCTTCACCGGGCATGGCTCTGGCTCTCAGGGGGCTCACGGGCGCACACATGGCGAACCCCTTGTGTGTGCTCATCGTGCGCCGAGATCACATGGTTGAAGATGCCATCCTGCAGGTAGATAGGCGGAGTGCATGTAGTGATCTCACTGGGCTTGGCTTTTGAGACGTCTCAATAGGCGGAGTGCATGTAGTGATCTCACTGGGCTTGGCTTTTGAGACGTCTCAATAGGCGGAGTGCATGTAGTGATCTCACTGGGCTTGGCTTTTGAGACGTCTCAATAGGCGGAGTGCATGTAGTGATCTCACTGGGCTTGGCTTTTGAGACGTCTCAATAGGCGGAGTGCATGTAGTGATCTCACTGGGCTTGGCTTTTGAGACGTCTCAATAGGCGGAGTGCATGTAGTGATCTCACTGGGCTTGGCTTTTGAGACGTCTCAATAGGCGGAGTGCATGTAGTGATCTCACTGGGCTTGGCTTTTGAGACGTCTCAATAGGCGGAGTGCATGTAGTGATCTCACTGGGCTTGGCTTTTGAGACGTCTCAATAGGCGGAGTGCATGTAGTGATCTCACTGGGCTTGGCTCTCAGGGGGCTCACGGGCACGCACATTGTTGAAGATGCCATCTTGCAGGTAGCCTCTTTGCACGTAAGTAGGGAGTGTGGAAGATTAGAATTCGATGCTCCATGTGGGTAGCCATTCAGCAGGTAGGGTGTGCATGGAGAGAGCATAATGGATGCTCACTTTTTGTTTCACTGGGCTAACGTGCTCAGGGGGCTTGTGGGGAGGCAGGCAGGCACACTGCATACTGCACGCATGCTGCCATACTCCTTCACTATCCTTCCTCCTTCCTCCAATCGCCCCTCTTTCCCCTCCTGTCCGTTCCTCTTTCCTCTCCTCTCTTTTCTCGCCCTCGGTGGTCCATCATCATAGTTCGCCCTTTTTCTATGCCTCATTCTCATTTTCCTTCCTCACTCTCCCACTCACCCTCATTCTCATTTACCATTCTCTCTATTCTTTCTGCACTCCTCCCCCTGTGTGTGCAGGTGCAACAGCATACAGGGGACTTGAAGAAACCACTCAAGGTGAGAAGCACATGTCACCTCACCACCACTGTCATTCACTCTTCCATCACACCCACTGTTTCACTTTTGATCAGCGGAGGTGGGGTTAAGCGCTTTAAGGTGGAGTGCACATGTCACCACACCACGCACATGTCACCACACCACGCACATGTCACCACACCACCCTAATCTCCTCTGCTCCAATCCACCACACCCATTGTTCCACTCGCGATCAGTGAGCAGTTTTTTTCCTTAACTCGTGTTCCACTGCCCTTATACCCATGCCTTAGCGTACCACCCCTACTCTTGCTGGGCGCACTGGGTGCACCGTGCGCGTGATGCCCTCACACCTCCATTTCCTCCCTCCCTCCCGCATTCCCCTTGGAAGAGCAGGTGAAGCGCTTTGAGCTTCTAGCCAAGATTATCTTGCAAGCCTGCCGTTGTTTTGTGAATTGTGTGGGAGAGGAGGGGGTGTTTTGTTAGCTGACTCAAATGTGCATCTCACACCCCTGCCTGCACCCTCCCGTTCGCGCTGTGCCCGATGAGAGAGCAGGTGAAGTTTGTGGGAGAGGAGGGGGTGGACGAGGGCGGTGTGCAGAAGGAGTTCTTCCAGCTCATCATGCGCGACATCGTTGACGCCAAGGCAAGTCCCACACGCATGTTAACTATATATAATATATATATATATATACTTATATTGTATTTTGTGTGTGTCTCTGGAAAGGGCCTCCAGCGTGCCTTCTCCGCAACCCTAGCAACACGACGAATCGTAAGCATCCCTACTCCGCTGCATTTTGTTGTGGTTCTCTCCTTCCTTCCCCGCTTGCCCAATTGCGCAATTATGCCCCTTTCTCTTCGTGCGCAACCTCATCATTGCACCGCACATTCCCGACCGCAGTTTGGCATGTTCACATACAACGAAACGACGCGCTCCTTCTGGTTCAGCGCATCCCCCATCGACATGCCACTCGAGTTTGAGCTCGTAGGCACCGTGCTGGGGTTAGCCATCTACAACGCGCACATCCTCGATATAAGCTTCCCCCTTGTCGTCTACAAGAAGCTCCTGGGGAAGAAGACCTGCCTGGACGATCTAGCCGGGGTGAGTTGAGTTGCCCGTCCAGCCCTCATTCTCTCTGCTGCTTCTCCCACTACCCTTTCTCCCGCTACCTCTCATTTCTGTGTGAGTCCCTGACCCGCCTTTGACTGACCGTCCCAGACCTCTCTCTGACCTATCCCTGACCTCTCCCTGACCTCTCCCTGACCTGTCCCGGACCTATTCCCGAGCCACCATTGCAGGTGGACCCGGACCTGCATCGAGGGCTCAAGGGGCTGCTGGCATTCCAGGGCAACGTTGAGGTGAGCGAGAGAAAGTGCTGTGCACACAGGTGAAGGGGGGGGAGGGCAAGGAAGAGCAGGGGAAGGCAGGGGAGGCAGGGGAGGCAGGGGAGGCAGGGGAGGCAGGGGAGGGGAGGGGAGGGGAGGGGAGGGCAGAGGAGGGGAGGGGAGGGGAGGGGAGGGGAGGGGAGGGGAGGGCAGAGGAGGGGAGGGGAGGGGAGGGAAGTGAGTGCGTGCATCTTGTATCATCATGGTGCTTCGAGGCGTCGTACACGGGCATGTTCGGCTCGCCCACCACGCTGCCAGGGAGCTGCCTGCTGCCTCGTTTCGGCTTCTGATTCTTCTCCCCTTACCCCCTCTCCTCCCACGTACACACGCACATCAGGAGGTGTACTCATGGTGCTTCGAGGCGTCATACACGGACGTCTTTGGCTCGCCCACCACAGTGCCGCTCAAGGACGGTGGCGAGAACCTTCCTGTCACCAACAGCAACCGAGAGGAGTTTGTGGAGCTGCTGGTGGACGTGAGTATGGGGCTTAGGGTTTAGAGCTTACGGTTTGGGGGGTTGGTGTTTCTGGAGCTGCTGGTGGAGTTTGTACAGGGTTTGGCATAGCGGTTGGGGGGTTTGGAGTTTGTAGAGCTGCTGGTTTAAACTTACTCCTACGCAAGTGCCGCTCACTGGAAGAATGTCCGAAGTTCCAACCCAAACCCTCCTTCCCCTTTGCCCCACTTTTCCACCTTGCGCACCCCCCTGTCTCAGTTCCGTCTGAACAAGCTAGTGGAGTGCCAGTTCGGCCCCTTCTCCCGCGGCTTCCTGCCTGTTCCCATAGCTTTCCCTTCCCCCATGTCCCCTCCTCCTTCCCGCTCATTCTTGCCCCCGGCCCTGACCCCTCTGCCCCACCGCAGTTCCACCTAAACAAGCTGGTAGAGCGCCAGTTCGGCCCCTTCTCCTGCGGCTTCCTGACTCTTCTTCCCCTCCCCCTCCCACTCCCGCTCCCCCGTCCCACCGCAGTTCCATCTGAACAAGCTAGTGGAGCGGCAGTTCGGCCCCTTCTCCCACGGCTTCCTGCGCCTTCCTGACTCTTCTTCCCCTCCCCCTCCCCCTCCCCCTCCCCCTCCCCCTCCCCCTCCCCCCTGCCTCCCCCGTCCCGCCGCAGTTTCATCTGAACAAGCTAGTGGAGCGCCAGTTCGGCCCCTTCTCCCGCGGCTTCCTGCGCCTGTGCGGCGGCCCCGTGCTGCGCCTCTTCCAACCGGACGAGCTCGAGTTGCTCATCTGCGGCTCCCCCGTGTTCGACTTTGAAGAGCTGTGAGTGCGCATACTTGCTGGGAATGAGGTGCACGTTGCAGGCCATGGGTCTGTCTGCGGTTGGTTGGTTGGTTGGGGTAACTCACAGCTCTGAGGTGGCAAACAAGCTGGAGTGCAGACCAGTTTACCTCTGCGAGATCCAGACATAGCTCAGTGAGCTGCGTGCGTGCAGTAGGCTTAAAGCAAAGGAAAAAACAGCAGTAGATTTCCGCTCTGTGTACAACTAAGTGCTCAAAACGATCTCAGAACCCAAGCAAGCTGGAGTGCAGACCAGTGTTCCTCTGCACTCCAGCTTTTGAGGCGCCTCAAAAGCCATCGTTGCAGGCCATGGGTTTGTCCGTGGTTGGTTGGATTGCTGCAGTGTTCGTCTGCACTCCAGCGTGCCACCAGAGCTGTGCGTGAGTTACCAGAGCTTGCTGGGACAAGACAAGCAGCTTGTTTCCTTCTCACAATTAGTGGGTCAGACACTTGGCTTCTGCGGCTGTTCTACCTCTGCGCCTAAAAAATACCTTATGGGGCTGATCTACCTCTGCTTCGAGTCCCTGCTATGTTCTTTGGTGCTTACTTGGCTCTTCATTAGTTGGATTTTTGCTGTTTATCTGTCCACGTGTGAGTGCAGGGAGAGGAATGCGCGGTATGAGGATGGGTACACCAAGGAGTCTCCCGTCATCAAGAACTTCTGGAAGGTAATCCATGTTCTGGCGGTCTGATGTTCAAAGCTGTTTCATGTGAGCATGCACTGACTAAGACACCGCACCCTGCTCGCGTTGCCCCATCACGACTTCTCCTCTTACCTTTTGCAGGGATTGTGTGTGTTTCACTCGCCTCACTGCTCCTCGCGTTGGTCACTTTCCTCTCACCACCACCTGTCAACCTCACCTGCCCCCTCCCACCAGGTGGTCCATGGGCTGCAGGACGCGGAGAAGAGGAATCTGCTGGCGTTGATTCGTTCACACCTCCAACCCTCTCTTGCACCTCTCATTCCCCGCTCTAACCTCCCCTCTCCCCCTCCCACCAGGTGGTGCATGGGCTACAGGACGCAGAGAAGAGGAATCTGCTGGCGTTTGTGACGGGGTGCGACAGGGCGCCCATCAAGGGCCTCGCCTCGCTGCCCTTCGTCATCTCCCGAGCGGGTCAGTGTTGCTGCGTTGCTGGTGGGTGTGCATGTAGTGAGTGTGCTAGCCGGTCATGTGCATGTGTATGTGCATGTGCATGTGCATGTGCATGTGCATGTGTATGTGCTGCGAGTTTTGAGACGTCTCAATAGTCAACAGGGCGCCCATCAAGGGCCTCGCCTCGCTGCCTTTCGTCATCTCCCGAGCCGGTCAGTGTTGCTGTGCTGCTGGTGGGTGTGCTTGTAGCATGTATGCAGTGTCACATTATTTTCCCATAGGTTCAGCTTGCCGTTGTTTGTCTCTCAGTGTCGGCCGTTACGTTCATTATATCTACTGTGAGTCCACTGTTGTTGAGTACACAACTAACGCATTCACTAGTAACGAGTACACTTGTGAAAAGCCTGATTTCTGTGAGCAAAGACGTATTGGGCATGCGAACATACTTTGATCAGGTTATTATTGCTTAAATAGCTACATGCTACTTGTTGCCCATCAAGGGCGCCCATCAAGGGCCTCGCCTCGCTGCCCTTCGTCATCTCCCGCGCCGGTCAGTGTCGCTGTGCTGCTGGTGCGTGTGCTTGTCACGGGTGTGCTAGCCAGTCGGTGTTGCTGTGTTGGGAGTTTTGAGACGTCTCAAAGCTCAACAGGGCACCCATCAAGGGCCTGGCCTCGCTGCCCTTCGTCATCTCCCGAGCCGGTCAGTGTCACTGTGCTGCTGGTGCATGTGCATGTAGTGAGTGTGCTAGCCGGTCATGTGCATGTGCTGAGGGTTTTGAGACATCTCAAAACGTAACAGGGCGGCCATCAAGGGCCTCACCTCCCTTCCCTTTGTCATCTTCCGAGCCGGTCAGTGTCGCTGTGCTGCTGGTGGCCCAGTGTATGTCGCATCATTTTCTCACTACATTTTTTTGTTTATAACCTGCATCTTCGTGCCAGTAGCTGGGGTTGACCTTCCTTTTGTTTGTCTCTTAACAGCGGGCCTTTCTTTCTTTTACAACAATAAATGAGTTTACCACCGATCACCACCACCACCCATCAGGTCCTGACTCGGACCGGCTACCAACAGCACACACATGCTTCAACCACCTGCTGCTGCCAGAATACTCCAACCTTGAAAAGGTAAGTCTTCGAGCTGGCTCAAACCACTCAGAACAAGGAAAGTATTGACAAGGGAAGTCTTGACAAGGGAAGTCTTGACAAGGGAAGTCTTGACAAGGGAAGTCTTGACAAGGGAAGTCTTGACAAGGGAAGTCTTGACAAGGGAAGTCTTGACAAGGGAAGTCTTGACAAGGGAAGTCTTGACAAGGGAAGTCTTGACAAGTCTCAAAACTGCCAACATCGCACACATGCTTGAACTAAGTGCTGCTGACCGGATACTCCACGATTTCCCCGACAACGTGACTTCCACAATCTCTAACATTAGGTACAACTTCCATGTTGCCGTTGCCATTGGGATTGCCATTGGGATTGCCATTGGGATTGCCATTGGGATTGCCATTGGGATTGACATTGGTATTGACATTGGTATTATTGACATGCACTGCTGCTGAGTTACTCTTGTGACTCGTGCTGTGGGCCCTACCACTTCCATGCCATGCAATCACAGTGAATCTATGCTCCGTGATACCATCACTGCGTATTTCATACAATCACATACGGCCCCTGTGCTCTGCTCGTCATATCTTCCTGTGTTCTCCCACTATCTCTCCTCATAATCTCATCCCACCATCTGTGCTCCCCATCATACAGCTGCAAACGCGGCTACTGACTGCCATCAACAACTCACAAGGGTTCGGGCTCATGTAGGGGAGGAGAAGCGGCAGCAGCATCGCTCAGGTCGTCAGACTCATGTGGGGTAGAGCATGCATCCGCCTCAACGCGAGCAAGGGGATTGGATTCGAGTAGAAACAGCAGCAGCAGCAGCGGCGGAAGTGGCAGCGGCATTGCAGAAGTTGTCGCGTGCATGCAGGGCGAGGCATTTACAGGAGGCGCATGTAGACAAAGCATCCGTAGCAATCCTCGGGAACGCGTGCATATGCGGAAGCTGCAAGAGCATGAGGCACATGGATCAGGAGGCCTCCTTGGGATTGCCGGGTGTCCAACAACGTTCACTCCCGTCCCTCCAATTCCTCCGCCAATTTGTGGGCACTTTAACAGGTGCCAAGTTGTGTAGATAAAATGTGACGAATCAAATTACCTCGCATACGGGCTGCAGTGAGCATCCCCTGGATGACTTTTCGAGTTGCCTAGAAAATGATTGGATTGTCAATCTGGCATGTACAGTACATGCTGCATCTGCCATCTCTTCAACAAGTAAAAGTCACATGTGGAAAATGCGCGCAGGCCTAATTTCAATTTCACGATCCAATCCAAAGCAGGAAAACACAATCTTAGGCTTATAAGGCGAAAAAACAAACACTTGCTCACATTGGCAATGTAGCTCACCACGGTATGGCTTACAGGTGTTTACACTTACAATCATCATGAGAGACCCACCCATCCCAAAGCCAACCACCACAAGGTCGGCCCCAATGCTTTTTGGCTAAAAAATATGGTACACTGTTGGAGCCGTGTCTGATGCACATACTTGGTGTGCTCTGCTCCATGTGGTGGTGACATGGGAGCTGTCACAGCCTGCAAAAAGTTAGTCCAAGAGCATCCTCCCACCCAGCTGCAAAAAAACTTCATACAGAATACCGACCTGATACAAGTACTGAATGAGTATTGGATACCAGCCTGATACTCAATACAGAATGAATACCTCGATACCAAATTAACACTGACCTGATAGCTTAATACCGAATGAATACTGACCTGATACCTCAATATGAATATATACTGACATGATACCCTATAGTGAATGAAAACCGACATGATACAGACACAACCGAATGAATACAGACCTGCCTATCACCCCGAACATCTCCAAATCTGTCGTATCGAAACTTCTTCGGTGAGGTACAAAGCAGACATTTACAAATGGTTACCAATAACAGTTTCAGCTCAAACCGCACCCACCCTCTCCTGTCCTGTTTCCTATATTTAAGCTTCAACCTCACATCAGAAGTAGAAATATGGCTGAGCTGATTGCGAGGTGATTTTATTTGTTTTTTTTTCAAAAATCACCGAAGCTCACCTCATTGCGGGCCAGCAGCTCAGAAGTCGCATTCACCGAAAGGTTTACCACCACACCCTCCACTGCTTTGCCTCACTGAGGGAGGGGGGGTGAGAGGGAGAGGATGAGGGGGAGAGCAGGGGGCGTGGAAAGGGTGAAGGGGTGGGTGAGTGCTGAGGTAAGGGATATGGGGCATGGAGCAATGATTGAGTCATGATTTTCAAGCCATGAGCTGCAATTATGGTCACAGTGCTTACTGGTGATGATAAATGCCCATAGAAAGGCATACAGAGTCACAAGCATAATTTCACAGTGTGCCACATGCGTTCTACAGGGGAAGAAGGAAGGAAATGCCTCCTTGGTGAAGCGATTGAACATAGTGTGAAAGAGATCATGCCCAACTGACACTTTCATGCCAACTGACACATTCATGCCCAACTGACACATTCATGCCAACTGACACATTCATGCCAACTGACACATTCATGCCAACTGACACATTCATGCCAACTGACACATTCATGCCAACTGACACATTCATGCCAGCTGACCCGTTCATGCCAACTGACCCATTCATGCCAACTGACCCATTCATGCATGCAAGTGCCTCTTGTAGCATGCATACAAACAATGTGAGACATACGCATGCCGTACGCCCCTCAGCTGCCCCAAACGACAAGATCAACAGCCCATACAGCAGATAAAGCTCCATGGTTATTGCAAATGGTGCCTTAACTTTGTGATATATACACATTAATGACCATAATAGCATCT